GCTGTAACCGTACACTCCGCCGTTCGGACCGTACAGCAGGTAGAAACGTAAAAACTTTAATAATTAAGTTTAACATAACAGCAAATGTAACTAAGGTGCATATTTGCTATTATGTTAAACTTATATTAAAGTTTTCTTCATTACCCATTCAAGCCATCTCCAACCATTATTATTCAAAAGAGATGTTTTACTGATAAGGAAGTTACATCAGTTTTCCCATTAATGAAAGAACAGCCATTAAAACCTCACTTCTAAGATCATGAACCTTACGTTATCTTTGATATACGTAAGTTGTAAAATTAAGTTTGAAACTAGATTCATGGGAGTTCATATAACAAAATTGGTAATAACAATTTAGAAATATGTATGTTCATGTTATATATATGATTTGTTTACAAAAATAAATGATTCTGAAATCCAGTAAGTCTCAAGGAATTGTTTTTTAATCCGAGTATATCTAGTAACATATAAATCATCCTTGGATACTGGTTCTCTAATTGTTTCAGTTGCTAAAGTTTTGAACTTATACATCTTATTTTTACCAAGTTGGTATAAATTAGTAGTAACTAGTACAACTCATGATCTGAATAATTTCATTTCAAATTTATTTTTGCTGTTTCTATTCTGGAATTGGGCAAGGTAAGGCCCAGTGGTTAGTTTGCTTGACTGTAGAACTCAGGTTCTATGATTCATAACCCTTTACCAAAGAAAAAAAGATAAAGAAATCAAACACTTTGGGGCCTTTGGTAAATTATGAAAATGAAGATGAAATCCTAATATTTGGTTTCTTCTGGTCTATCACTACAAAACTTTGGACAGAAAGCACTCCAGTAACATTGTGCAAATTTAATAAAAACACCATTTTGGGGTTCTAAACATCTTGGGGAGGGTTACTTTTAAAATTAATATAGGAAGCATTTTATTTTAAAATTATTATATCTTAGAAACTAGTTGTCTTACAGGGAACTAAGTTTCACCAGAGGCAGACTGAGGATTGCAAGTTTTATTTAGGAAAGTTTGAATATGGTACAGGATGTATCAAAAAATGCCACAGATATTTAATATGCTTATGATCCATTGATTGAACTGTAAGAGGAACTCCATAAGTATAATGAAAGATATGTACTCTTTGCTAACCACCTCACTGGTCAGTCACTAGTTAGATCACAATTAAGATTTAAAATAACTGCATAAATAAACATTAAGCGTAAAATAAAAACCAACTTTACCAATGGCCGATGGAGATAATACTTGGTAGGGGGAGAATCATTAAGGCTGTTACTGTAAATACATGACATTGAGTGTATGTCAATCAGTGTAGTATGGCTTGAACCTTTTGCCCCATGCACATGATTTTTTTTAATAACGAGGTGAAATTGATATTTATTTTAACAACATTCTCCTTCAAATTGAGCATTATT